TGTTTTGATATTTATAGAAATTTTAGCTTTTTTAAAAATCTTTTTGTTCCTTAAAGGGATCCCCAACTGCCGAGACAAGTTGTGTTCATATTTTTACTAACAAAAATTGTTATTAACATTATGTCATCTCACGACATAATTGTATTCAATTTATTTTCAACATGTATATCCAATACACATTCTTATACCTTTTGTTTTATAATGCCCCTACAATCATTTATTTCAATCAATTTTAGTTTACTTAAAGGTCACTTACTTTATGCAACAGGTACATTGCATCAAAAACTTGAATCAAAATGCATATAGATTGGAAAATAGGCTATAGACCAGGCTTGGTCAGGAAGGTGTGCAATTTTACGACTTTATATGAACACACAAATAATATTTTGTTTTGACGATTTGACAGTTTAAATATTTTAATACAGTGCTGAAAAACTTATCTTAAAAAAAATCTTAAGAAAAATCTTCTTAAAAAAATAATGAAAAATAAAATAAAAATAGCTTAGTAACAAATTACTAAAACAAAAAAAAAACAAAAAAAAAACTTAACTAAAATATATAATAATAAACAATAAGATTATTCAAATTACCTTTACAATTAGGTTTGAAATAAATAACTTTGAACTTTTACAAATGTTTTTATAATGTATTATTAGTAGTGTGTCTGTCTGTTTTGTTACCACACCATTTAAAAAATAAAAAATAGTTAATATTAATAGTAAACAAATAAAAAATAAATAAGTAATAATTAAATAAGTAGTAATTGACAAAAAAATGTAAATAAACACTTTCGTTTTTATAAAAAACATCATCGCACACTAGTGGTAATTTTTAAAAAAACTATTAAACTTAATGATGAAACTTTTTTTAATTATACCTTTTTTTTTTGGCAGGGAGGAAGGATGGGGGATGCATTTCACAAAAGTGATGACTGACTTACGAAGAAAAATAAAATGTTTTTTTTATTATATGAGACCATGAGAACAAAAGTGGTGTAACCCACAAACTTAGTCTATATGAGGCCATGAGAAAATCGTTGGAGGTTATTACTTTATATAAAGTAACAACTTGCAACGATTTTTTAATAATTACGCACATTTAAAAGGTAACAAAAAAAAACTTTACAATTCTTTTTAGTAATGTAAACAAAAGAAAAATAATTAAACTGTTTCTTTTGTCAGAAATCTAATGTCAGAAAGCAAATGAGGAAAAATGAAGATAAAAACAAAAAATAATGAACAAAACTATTCCTTTAATTGATAATTTAATTTAATTTGCCAATAATTTAATTTGTTAACT